AAAAGCCAAAGTATAACAACATTAATTGACAAGCTGTTATAATCAAATGTAAAGTAAAGTAATAGAAAACTTACTAAGTGTAAATTTGGTCCTCAGACGGAGTTCCCCCAAACTGATTATTCTGCACTATTTGGATAATAACAGGTTTCAATTCAAATTTGTAGCTTCTACGACAATAGTTTGAATATTTAAGTGAATTTCATCTATCATAGGATTAGTGTAATCTCTTAATGATCTATGCGCATTATGATTTTAATTATCTAAATTGTTCTGTTGTATACTCGTCATTTCTTCTATGAATTGGTTAAGTCCTCTCTGCTTTATAATCCTTCTAATTTTTCTCTCTAGTTCTAAATCTTAAGTCAAAAGTCCCGAAGATCTTGCACTACACATACACAACTAAAGGTTTAAGGAGTAAATTTCACTAAAACACAATGTGTGTTACACAAATATAATAATTTTGTTATTATTTTGTTTTTTTAATTTTTTTCTTTTTTTCTTATTCATATAAACAAACACTTAAACAATGAAACTACAATACGATTTTGCAAATATAATTTTAATTAATTCAACTAAAATTTTCATATGTTCAATACATCGTCACACTTACCTGACAAGATTGCCAAAAACTTGATCGATGTCTGGTCTAACCTAATACCTATGGATGAACTATTTGAAATCTTAAATAGGTATATAAATTTTAGAACTTTTGTTTAACAATAAAGAAACACTAAACACTAGGATTTTCACACAAGTATACGTATCATTCAAGTAATATCAGATTACTGAGTCCGAATATTCGATCCCACAGGGAAGGCTGTGATTTACACCTAAGAAAAGTTCTAGCCTACTGTAATGAGTCTTATACTGGAAGTATAGTTGATTCAAGTTATGCTTGTTAAACCTCCTAAACTATCACTAATTCTATCAATTTACTCCTAAGTTAACTCTACTAAAGCTAATTAAATTGAGAAAGATCAAGATAAAAAACTGCCCTTCCCTTGTAATGACATAAGTAATGTGTGTAGGAATGGAACAATTAGAATAGAGATTGTAGTAAGTGACAAATAGGAGCAAACCTCTTCTTTACTCTCTTTTGAGTGCATAAAAAAGTTTGGTTCAAAATTGGTTAACGTTTCTGCCTGTCACACTAAAAACCCCAATTTGAACCCATCAAAGCTTCTTTTCTTATCTATTTGCATTGTCCTATGGACTAATTTTCCTTCACCCACTAGTGCAATGTGTTTCTCCTAGTTGTTAAAGTCATACCTTTCTCGAGTCACTATGGATTCACAACTAAATTTAACATGTCACTTGACCAGAATGATAAGTAAATTAAGAATAAAGTAAAACCATTACTTTAATAATTAAAAACTTATTCTAAATATAATCAAATATCCTACACATTCTACTAATTCATCGCAAGGGAAGGGTATAAAGGATCTACTCACAATGCATTAAGAAAACACCATAGTTCATCATCTTAAAATGAAGCAAATTCATAGAAAATGAGTTTGCAACAAATGCAAGACAATGTAAAATGAAATACTTAACTTTCTCGTTGAGAAAATAAGTGAAAACTCATCCCTAAGTGATCTACAAATGTTCATTACATTGATAACAGTATTCCTTCACAAAATTCTCTCAAATCTCTCTATAAAAATGCAGAAAAATTTAAGCCCTAGATCTAAACTCTCATTTTCTGCACCCTTTAAACTTTATATAGGTCTTCAACACTAATCCTCCTCTCGTTTGAACTGCTTCCCCAACTTCTTAACTCCCAAATTTGTGCATAATCAATTGTAGAAACAGTCTCAGGCAGTTCCGGTGCTTAGGCGCCGGTGGATTGGCCCCAAGGCTACACTCTATCTGTTTGCATGGCTAATGACTGACACCTAGGCGCCGTTGGACTGGCACCAAGGCACCACTTGACTGGTGCCAAGGCCCCATTTTCTTTATTTGAATGCTATGACTGACGCCTAGGCACCACTGGACCGAAGCTTAGGGGCCACTAGACTGGCGGCCTTCACATTGTCTCTGTTTGCTGGATATGACTAGGCCTTAGACGTCGCTCAACTGGCGCCAAAGCCCCAGGCATAGCGCCTTGACACCCAAGGTTGGCGACTAGGCGCCAGTGCGCTGAAAGCACGTTATTTCTCAAGTGCTTTGTTTCACCTTCGTTTCACTCCGTTTTCTCTCCAATCATCCTATTTTTATGCCTGCAATAAAAATACAAAAATATTTTTCTTTAAAGTGCAATTTCATAAAAAAAATAAGTGTTAAATGTAAATGAAAGTGAGCAAGCTACAAGATATATCAATAGCCTAACCGTAATAGTTTGTAGCATAATAATACTTTTCAAACTACATTTGCACTTGACCACAATTACTCATTTATAATTGTCCGACCTCGATCATCTGACAATTATCATCTGGTTGTTATCGGTTGTAAACTTTATCATATGTTATTGCCTATAAGTCAAATGCACACTATTAATGCTTGTTATTTTCTATAAGATTAGTGCACACTATCAAAGCATACATCACTAATGAGCCTAATGCATGCTTTGCACCAAACGTGATGCCCCTTAACTATGTTTCCCATCGACACAACACAAATGCTACAATATTTTTTACTCATCATTGCTTATAATATTGACGGCACTTGACAAGCACAGTGGTCTACAATGATGATGTACATTATGCTACTATCAATTAAAAGTTCGATACATCTTTTGAATACAAATTTTGATTATCCTTAGCTCTATTTCCTGTCATAGCCAATAGTATTGATGCACGTAATTATTAATAGAGCCAAAATTGGCTATACGTGCTAAGGTTGTAATAGAAATAAGTCATTGGCTTCACTCCTCACGAAAGAATTACCGATCTTATATAACACCAAGACATTAATCTCAATTTAACTCCATAAATTTTCTGCAAACAATAATATTACACTATTAATTTTTTGAATATTAATTTAGAAATCAGCATAATAAATTAGATTCATAAATCATAAGTATGCATTATATCTATTTTATACCGCATAAGTAAACTTAAGAAAGTTTTACATTTATTAGACCTAATTTTTATGTGCTCACATATTTAATATCCAAAATTTGATACTTATAATATTAACATGATTTAATTATTTGGATGTGATGTTAAAAATTTAGATATCATATAAAAAATATTAAATTTTAGGTCTTATATATATAAATATATAATAATTATATGATGCATATAGGTCTATCAAAAAAACTTATTGATCATAAATAGGTCAGGTTTGACTCTTTAAACTACTTGTGTTCCATTCGCTCATTAAGAAAATGAGCCGAACACGAACAAATATTTGTTCATTCATATTCGGCTCGTTCCGTCTCAAAAAAATTAACTAAATAATAATAGTTATTTAAATATTTTTGTTTTACTTCTTTATATTTAATACAAATATTCTAAATCATATTATTTTTAAATTATACATAAATGGTATAGTCATTAAAAAAAAAAAATAGAAGGTTAGGTTTTAGATACATAAACGAGTAAGTAAACCGTCAGATATGCAAAAATAAATATAAAACAACCAAGCCTGCTGGTGCGGGAAGGATGGTGTCCGGGAGCAGAGATCCAGGACCACATTAGCAGCACGCTGCGGCCCGCTGGAGGATGGGTAGGGATCTTTTAGTCCCACAGGAGTTTGACAGATTTATTGCGAGAAGTTTTTTTTTAGAGGAACTGAGCCGTGTAGATTTGCAGCACCCAAATTGTGTTTAGTAAACTAATTTTTTTATTTTAATAATAATTTAATAAACCTAAATTTTAGGATATACTTGAATAAAATTCAAGCAAACCTCGAGTTTATTTGAACATAAGTTTGAATCGAGCCTGCACGCAAATAAGTTATTACCTTGCAATTCGAACACGAGCAGAATATGAATAAAAAATAATTAATGAGCCGAACACGAACACAGTTTAGACTGGCTCAAGTTCGGCTCCTTTGCGCACACATGGATTTATATATATATATATATATGTATATATGTGTGTGTCTCACCACAATTAAAATTTGAAAATGAATAACAATGTCCTACTTTTAATGATGGTATTTTATCTTGATTTAAATTTATAAAATTATTATCTAATGTTTTTTTGTGAGTTTGTGTAAATTAGTTCAAATTTAATAAAACCTCTATTTGCAAGGCATGGTCCTACTAAATCCCCAACGCACCCATTACCTTGTTTCCCAAGTAATTCTAGATTAATTTTTAAAAAAAAATAAATAAAAACCAAACCGATCACCTCTTCTCTATAAATGAGCTACCTCACTTCATTTACCCTCCTCGCCCCTCAAGAGCCAACGTCTTCCACCTTCTTCCTCCCCCCACATTCTCCTTCCCTTTGGTCGGACCCACTATGAAATTGTCCCTCTGATCCCCGCGTTAAAACAGAGTAAACCCCGGAAAGATACGATCTTTATTATTTAAACCGCTGCAAGCCCCAGCTTCCTTCAAAACCTGTCTGCTTCCAGCAAGAAAGATCCGACCTTTGGTTCTTCAAGGACAATGAAGGAAGTTTGGACATCAGTAGCATCACTCCTGGGCGCTTTCGCTTTCTTCCAGAGCGTCCTCCATGCCGTCTTCCCCCCAGAGCTCCGTCAAGTCATCGCCAAGTTCTTACACCGCGCGTTCAACTTCTTGTCCTCCTATTGCTACTTCGACATTACTGAAATCGACGGCGTGAGCACCAACGAGCTCTATGGTGCTGTTCAACTCTACCTTTCCTCCTCCGCCTCTGTCTCCGCCTCCCGGCTTTCACTCTCCCGTCCCCTCAACTCCTCATCCTTCACCTTCGGCCTATCTAACAACGATCGCCTCGTCGACTCTTTTTCCGGCACCACTGCCATTTGGGAGCACGTCGTAACCCAACGCCCTTCACCTTCCTTCTCATGGCGTCCTCTTCCCGACGAAAAGCGCGGATTCACTCTCCGCATCTGTAAAAAAGATAAGTCCCGCATCCTCCCCTGCTACCTCGACCACATCATGGAAGTCGCCGCCGACATTCGCCGCCGAAACCAGGAACGCCTTCTTTACACAAACTCGCGCGGCGGCTCTATGGACACTCGTGGCCATCCTTGGGAATCTGTTCCCTTCAAACACCCCTCCACCTTTGAAACACTCGCCATGGATCCCATCCTAAAGGAAGACATCATTTCTGATCTCCGTAGCTTCACTGCCGGTCAAAGCTTTTATCAGAAAATTGGCCGCGCGTGGAAGCGCGGATATCTCCTCTACGGTCCACCAGGCACTGGCAAGTCCAGTATGATCGCAGCCATGGCAAACTTCCTCTGCTACGATATCTACGACCTCGAGCTCACCGAAGTTCACACCAACTCCGAACTCCGAAAACTTCTCATGAAAACCACATCAAAATCTATAATTGTTATTGAAGACATCGACTGCTCTGTTTCTCTCACCAACCGGGGAAGCCCACCACAAGCGGCGGTTCATCCGCCGCCGCCGCCTGTGGATGATCCTTCATCTCCCCCTGCATCAGCTGCGGCGTCCGCAAAATCTCTGACGCTTTCAGGGTTATTGAACTTCACCGATGGGTTGTGGTCTTGCTGTGGCAGTGAGAGGATCTTTGTGTTCACGACGAACCACGTCGAGAAGCTCGACTCTGCTCTGCTTCGATCTGGGAGGATGGATATGCATATCCATATGAGCTACTGTTCATTTCCGGCGCTAAAAATTTTGATAAAGAATTACTTGGGGATGGATGGTGATGAATTGGAGAACGGAAAAGATGAGGATGTATTGGTTAGAGAGCTTGAGGCGGCGGTGGAGGCGGCGGAGATAACACCAGCAGATGTAAGTGAAGTGTTGATAAAAAACAGGAGGTACGGGAAGAAAAGGGCCATGGAGGAGTTGCTTAGCGTGTTGAAGGGAAGGATGATGGGGAGGAGAGGCGGCGGCAATGCGAGGGTGTCTATGTGCAGGAAGGAGGCGGATGAAGAAGAGGAGCAAGAGAAGAGAGCGCTGGATAGCCCGAAGGAGGAAAGTTCTGAGAAGTTGGAGGAGGCTTGTGAAGAGAAACAGGGGACGAAAACAGGGATTGAAGGCCGCCAAGGAGGAAGTCAAGACTGACTTGGGTTGCGAGGAGGGTCTTCGATTGGATAACTTTCCAAGGGGATTTCAAATTAGTACTTCTTTTAATATATGTTTTTGTTTTGTCGTGCGGTTTTTCTTGTTCAAATTTTAGAGGGGGCAAATGAAATGAGAAGCTTTTGGAGCTTTTGGAGCATGGAGGGTTTATTGTATGAAGCCGTTTAAAAACTTTCGTTGGGCTTTTTAAGTGTAAGAGAACATTCTCTCCTCTTAATGCTTTCTTCGTCGGTGCGAGTGCATCTCCTTTTCGGTCTGCCATTCTTTATTTAGTACATTATATATGTTTATTTATAATGCTTATATTTTTGGTTTGGCCTGAGCAATTAGTAAGTTGAGTCATGTTTTGAAAATATATTTATTAAAAAAAAAGTTTTCTAGTTATTTTTAAAATAAAGTGATTCACAATAAAAAAAACAATGGAATTAAAAAAAAAACAATTTAATCAAAAATATGTTGAAGTTAATCATTTGTTTTAAACAAAAGTAAAAAAAATAAAAATAAAAAATGATATCAATTAAGCCTTGTATAAATCATTATATAGTCTTTTATTAATGGGAATAGAAAAGCAACATGAAAGGGCAAAACAACAATCTGATTAATTTCAGCACATAACAATAATACATGAATGAGCATTATATATAGAGAGAGGATTGATAGGGTAAGTATGTATTTAGCATAGATATATCAGAGGGCTGACGAACAAAAAGTAGTTTTGCTTCAACGATGATGGATGAAATCAATTATTAAGTGTCTTTTTCCCATGTGCAAGAGGTTGTTGAGACTGTTTCCCATGCGTAGAGGAAGGAGTTGAGATTGCTATTACCACCCCTCAAGTTGACCTTCTAGAGAAGCTAGAGTATGGATTTGTTAGCATGGTGATGAGAAGTTCATGTCACTTGGTTAGAAGAGGTTTCAACTATATCAGTTGTTTACACTTTGTCATAATGTGTTTCCATGTGATTTCTCCTGCCTTTAGATGATATCAAACAAAATAATAATCTAAATCTATGTTAGTTTGTGCATGAAAATTGGGGTTATTGGCTAAGGCAATAACTGATACATAGTAACAATAAATGGTGGTTGAAGGAATAGAAGGAATGTCAAATTCGTGAAGTAAACGGTGAAGCCTCAAAATGTCTGTAGTTGCTATTGCTAGTGCTCAATATTCAACTTTTGTGGAGCATCTGGTAACAGTGGACTGCTTTTGGCTAGCCAAAAGATGAATATGGAACCCAAAAAGGTGCAATATCTAACAATTGATTTTCTATCGATAGGATTTTCAACCCAATATGCATAAACTTGGTACGAAGGTTGAGATTTCTAGCATGAATTGGAAGCCCATGACTGGATGTGCTTTTAAAATAGCAGCGAAGGTATTTTAAAATATGATAGTTATGTAGGAGAGGTTGATGCATGGACTGGCTAAGACGATTAACCGTGAATGTAATGTCTAGCCTGGTTTTTTAAAGTAATGAATGAGAAGATGTTTGTAATGGTGAGGGCTTTTCAAATAAGGCTGAGGAGAATTGGTGGACACAAGCTTAGTGGGAAGAGGAGTAAGACGATTTTGCATTGAGTCATGCCTGCAAATTGAAGAAGTTGTAAAGTTTAAATATATTGATGTAGAATGTAGTTAATGGTAATTTTTTCAACCTGAAATCCTCAAATTTGATGAAAGTTCCCAAGTGTTTTACAATGAATTCCTAGTCGAGTTCATTGATTAGATCATGGATAGCTATGATAGAATTGCCTGTAAGAAGGACATCATCAACATAAATTAATGGGTAAATTTTTATACCTCCTTTGGTGGAAATGAGTAGGGATTGATCAACAACTGAGTTTGTGTATAGAGTGAATTAGATAGCTTCAAAAGGTGGAGTATCATTTTCTTGGAGCTTGTTCAACGTTGATACATGCAAACTCTCATCCAATAAGATGTTATTACATGGATTCAATTAGAAAGGTGAGAGTGCTCTAGGATTCATAACCCTCTTATCAAAATTTAGGATTTCCAAACCAAAGAGAAGTTCTATATCAACAGTTGAGAAACTTTCTTCAAAGGTCATTTAGAGATAGCCTAAATTCACAAATATTTGATGATGCCTTCTTCCCTTCACCAATGCATCAAGTACTGGAAAAACGTTATAGAGTATTGCATAATTGGTGAAATATAACTCTTTTTAATACATGAAGTCAGTATTTATGAAGACGTGGTGTACTACTTGCCAAAGAAGCAAGTGATTTATTTAGAAAAATACCCACAACTAAAGAATTAGAAAGGAAACAAGGGAAAGATAATGCGAGATTAAAGAAAGAAAAAGAAAATAGATACTGAATGTAAAATGAAAATAAAAGAAAAAAAAGAAAAGAAATATAGAACAAAAGAAAAGATTGAAAAAAATGGCAGCATAAGAAAACAATGAATAAAATAAAATTGAATGACAAGAGACGTCATCAGAAGATGAAGATGAACACCAAGTTTTATTCCAATGTTTCTATGCCTCTTCAAATTTATGAGTGGGCGATAGAACTACAAGGAGTTGTGGTATAATTCATGATGAAAAACACATGATCACTACAAAGACTTCCTTATCAAATTTGAAGGACACACACTAGTAGCACATATTAACTTACAGTCCAACTCGAAACATGAGTCATACAACTTAAGTTGGTCTGTCACCCCAACAAAAGTAGAATTCCAATGGAAGGTCTCTCAATAAGAAAATGATAAAGAATAAAATACATTTACTACAAGTCAATATAAGTCCAAGTAATCTCAATTTGAGTAGATCATTCAGTATGTGTTGACCTCATTTTTGGTTAGCTCTAGATTTCTCCTTAAGACTTAGGGTCTAGTCTTAAGACTTTCCTATTAATTAGCCTAGTGATGGGTAGGATCCTAGTGATGGGACCCACCTCAATTTAGAAACTCAAACCACTTCCTTGCTCTTCTTGGAGTCTCAAATGTGTGGTTTTTGATTTCTAGCACTACCAAGGTTGATACCAACATGAGGAAGCCCAAAAAGAGTACCTATATGATTGTCAGGTCTCAAGGCAACCCTGGGTGGCTTGATCTTACATAGACACACTTGGACTCTCCATTAATTCTCACATACATTTATAACCATTCATTCACCCAAATTGACCTATCTTTCATTTGAATCCCATAACTACTCCTTAACTCTCTTGCAAACTCTTGTGGGTGGTCCCAAGCCCTTAGCCTTTGGTTAGGATGACTACGAGCAACATGCAGAGGCCTCAAGATGAGTTCTCATAAGGCTCGTGTGACTTCATGGCTTGCATAATCTTATCATCCAATTTGTCTAAATTCTACCAAATTTACTAATATGAACAAAATGCCCTTTGACCACCCCTAATTCTTTTAAAAAATTCCCAAAACACCAAAATTTCACCAAAATCACTCTTAAACCTTTGAAAGTTACCCAAGTGCCACAAATTCACCAAAATTGACCAAGATTGTCAAAAATCCCAAAAATTACCCAAATATCCATTTCACATCCACTAAATTTTAAATTCAAGCCCAATTCCACCAAATTCAAAACCTAAATTCAAACTCAAGCCAAACCATACCAAATTAACCCTAAATCTAATTTTGACCAAATTTGAACCCTCATTCCAAATTTCAAATTCAAATCAATTCCACAAATCTCAAACTCAAGCCCATCCATCATGATCAATTTTTTTTTTAAAAATCCATCAAGCCATCAAAGCCAAATTCAAAGGCCATCATCCAAGCCTAAAGTCAATTCTACATGCCTTTATCCAAAAGCCCAAAGTTAGCCCATCATGCTTAAACTCTAAAAGCCCAAGTTCAAAGCCCCACATAACAAAAAATTTCTATCAACCATTTAAGAAAAAAAAAACCAAACCTAAGTTCCAAGCTTCATGATTAATTTTTTTTCCCAAAATTAGCCCCATGACAAACCCTTTAAAAAATCCCAAAAATTTCTACAATCCTTTCTCATGCAAATTAGCTAAGTCAAAGAAAAGCCATGAAGCTACCTCCAAGCCACATACAAGCCATGAGAGAAATGCCATGTCATTTTACCCAAAGTGGCAAAAGCAGGAGCCTCTTTAATGATGCCCTTAAAAGTGATTGACCCTTCTCATGACTCACCCAAACCCATTAATACACTTGGATGGAAACTTGACCACACTAATCAAGCTAACCCCTCCTCAGCCCAAGCCACCATGGCGAGTGAACCCAACCTAAATGGATGACTTGACCCAACTCTTCGAAAAATTCACTTAACCCAATTCCACTTTAATTCAACACCTTTACACATGACAACCCACAATTGAATTCACTAATCTCTGACATTGGGCTCCCTCAACCAGATGGTAAACTTCCCCTAGCTAGTCGACCACCTTGGTCGTCAGAAAATCCAAACCCGAGGGGAGTTACCATGGTCAACACTCAAAATTAAGCCCATCCATGGTGGTTCACCCAAATTGGCTAATACTCCTCTCCTTCCCTCCACCTAAGACCCATTGGCTTGGCCTATTGAGCCCTCCTTCCCTCTCTATAAATGGGACACCACCTCTCGCAAGGAGAGGTTGTTGCAAAAACTTTAGGAGAACTCTACCAAAATCACTCCAAACTTCAATTGCAACCTTCCTAAGCCCATTCCAATCACTTTTAGCCCTTCATCCCCATTGTCTTGCTCTAATTTTGAGCTCCAAAACCTGGGCATTTTACGGCCACCATCCAAATTCTACCAAAACCCAATTTAACTTTCCTAAAAGCTTCAACAGAGTCTAAGGAGAGTTTCCCAATTGAAACCCCCATCTATAACCTTGTCCAGTACCAAGCCCAAGCCATCCTTTGGACTAGAGCGCACCTAGGCCCATCCATTTCTCAAATCAAGACTTGGAGGAGGTTCGTGGACTCAAGGCAAACGTCTCGAACCAACCCAATCAAGGCCTCACCTCTTAGGCAAAGGTATAACCTGAAATCCCTAAATTTTTCTTTGGTTTGGACCTTTATGAAAGAAATGTGTATTTCATGCATATTTAACCGTATAGATAGGTTCGCCTCACTTTGATGAACGTGTAGGAACAAACTGTGAGTG